CCTGAGGCAGAGGTAGGAGGGGGCTGGGGGGGCTCAGGCTCCTGGGGGCTCATCCTGTCCTCTCTGTCCCGCCCCTGCTCCTGCAGGAAGCTCCCTCCCGGTGTGGTCCTTCAAGATAAGCCACGCCGGAGGGCGGCCCCCACCCGCGGGGAGATGGGGCTGATGTGGAGCGGGATGTCCCTGGCTGTGACCCACACCTCCCTCCCCGCAGCAACCCCGCCTGGGGGCTGCGGGACACGGCGCTGCTGCGGGAGCTGGCCGAGGCCAACGGGCTGTGCCTGGAGAGGATGGTAGGTGATGTTGGGCTGTGCCTGGAGAGGATGGTAGGTGATGTTGGGCTGTGCCTGGAGAGGATGGTAGGTGATGGGCCCCGGGGTGCTCCCCGTGCCGCTGGGCACCCCCGAGCCCCGGCTCTGTGCTTCCAGGTGGACATGCCGGCCAACAACAAGAGCCTGATCTTCCGCAAGCTGTAACTGCCCTGACAGCGCCTCCCGGCGCTGCTGTCCCCACTGATGCCTCCTGCAGGGGTGGCACTGTCCCACCGTGGCTGGGGACAGCAGTGATGGGACGGAGCCCCACGCACCCCAGCTGGGGCTGACTTGGCTGGGGGGGTCCATCTCCCCTGGTGCCTTTGGGGCTGTCTTTGCAGAGGGTGCCCCAGCCGGGAGCACAGGAGCCAGCACAGCTGCCAGGGGGGGCACAGGTGTGGGGGAGGGGACACAACACCCCTGGGCATGGCGGTGACTCCTTGCTCCATTTCCTCGGAGGATGCTGTGCTGATGGTGTCCCCCTTCCCGCTCTCCCCAGGACTGTGCTGCTGCCCCCCCAATAAACTCTGTGACTTTGCCCTCCACACCCCAGCAGCTCCCTGATGTTTTCAGCACAAATACTGGGGTGTGGGGGTGTCCCCAGTTCCACCTCCAGCACCAATGAAAGGGTCAGGTCCAGCACTGGCCCCAGAGGCTTTGGTGAGGTGAGAAGATTTTATGAGTGGGGGTGGTCCTGGCAGATCTCCCACCCCTCTGCAACCCAACCCAATTCTCTATTGCTCCTGGACAGGCTGGGGGTGTCACACGGTGGGGGGAACATGCGGCAGATAAATTACAGTGGAGGTGGGAGCTGGTCTGGGGCTCAGCATGGGTTTGGGGGGAACTACATGACAGTGGTAACCTCTAGACACAGGCACTGGTGCAGGGGCTCCCTCAGGCTGCCCCCTCCGTGGTGTGTCTGCAGCTCTCCCTGTCGGCACATCCTGGCTCTCCCCTAGTCCTGGAAGCGGTTCAGGAGGTCGCAGGTTTTCTTCTCCATCAGCTCGTAGATCTTCTTCACCCGTTTGTCGTTGGCAGCCCGGACGTAGCTGCTGGGGTCCAGCGTGGCCATTCCGTCGTGCACCTCGCCCATGATGATCAGGGGCCCGTCCTCCGCCGTCATGTTGGGGCAGGGGCAGCTCCAGTCCATGTCGGTCAAGGTCACCTCCAGGTACTTGATGTTGAAGAACTTGAGGCCCATCTTCTCATCCTTGAGGACGTCCTCGAGGGCGAAGCGGGCTATGCCGGAGTCCTGGTCCTCCACGATCTCCATGAGCCGCCCCACGATGGCGAAGTCGCTGCGGCAGAGGCTCAGCACCATCTTGCTCTTCAGGCGGCAGGCCTTGCACTGCAGGCTCTTGGGGAAGGGGCACACGTCCTCGCAGGTTTCCTTGCTCTCGAAGTTGTTGGTGTTGCCCTCGCAGCCGCCGTAGACGAAGGAGTGGCACTGCTTCAGCAGGTGGTTGTACGCCCAGCGAGGCTCCCAGTTCTGGCAGGGTCCCTGCACCATGGGCAGGAGGCAGGTGGGGCGGGCGCTGCCCAGGCAGGCGGCTCGGCATTCCTCGTACGTCTCGAAGTGGTTCCTGTTGGACCCGCAGCCGCCGTAGCGGAAGGTGAGGCAGGAGCCCTGCTTGGCGTCAAAATGCCAGCGCACCTCCGTGGCCTCGCAGCGCCGCCGGTCCGGCTCCTTCAGGCACTCGGCGCTGGGGAAGGGCTGGGGGCTGCCGGTCCGCGGGGTCCCCCCCGGCTCTCGCCTGACCACCGACAGCGGGAAGTCG